TAAGTTTAGGGTTTTCGGTAACAGCACGCCACTGCACGGCTAGCTGGAGGCGAACGCGGCCCTCGATCAACTAACCGCCCCGTTCTCTCCCTTATCAGCTACTCATTCCCATTTTTACCGTGACTTATGTCTTTATTCAAATACTGGACACATGCAAGGCTGGGAATGCCTTATTAGAAGTACGGAGCATGACCAACTCCTCTCACGAGGTTCTCCTGCCCAAGTCAGGTAAAGAGTGCAGCTCTCGTGACGTGGAAAAACGTAGCAATGACGCAGACGAGTAGTCAAAAAAGAGCGCTTTCAGCCCTCCACCGTTAACATCCCCCCCCCCCCCATCGCTGTGCTCTGGTGCGTTTTACACTCGCGCCTTTCCTGTTGATTGCAGCCGTTGCGCGGGATGCCATCGCTATGAAAGCAAATGCAGCAAAAGTCCGGCACTATCCAAATATTACGACCACAATATACCACAATATTTTCCGGAAAAGGCCGGATTTTGATCGACTTTTTTCTACGAGTGCAGATTTGGCTGAAAGTTGGGCTCTAGGGGTAGTTCGACCTCTGAACACGAATATCACATCCACTTCACCTGAAACTGATTGGCGCCGGCGCCAAAATACCCTAGATCACCAAATCCGCTGAAAACTTGTATACGGAGGTTATTTGACATCTTGATTACAAATATCACATTCATTTTTGGCGCTGGCGCTGATGGAAGACGCTACGATCATCTGCGCTCTGCTAAGGCTGAGCCTGGCCTAAAGGGAATCACTCCTTCTCCCAGGCTCAGCCTCCTTAGAAGAGCGCTGAATGGCACTGATGTCGAAAATAAATGTCACATTCGTGGTCAGGGCACCAAGCAACCCCATTATGCAGGTTTTTATCGATTTTGATGGGGAAGGGTGTGGCGCCAAATCAGCGCCAAATGGCGTCGGGGCTGAAAACTAATACGGTATTCATGATCAGGACATCAAGTAACCCTTCCATCATTATGAAATTTGGTGATGGAAAATGGCTGCGCCAAACTGGCGTAAGTTTGGCGCCAGCGCCGAGAACGAGTGCTATATTCGCGATGAAGACACCGAGTGACCCCTTAGGCGAAGTTTTAACAAAAAAAAAATTTTTTTCTCGGGGTAGTAATGGTTGGATAGTGCCCGAAAGTCATTATATTTGAACATTTATCTAATAGAGTGTGGAACAAAATACAAGCAAGAGAAGCTAGAAAGGTTTCAGAGGAAAAAAAGGATGAAAAAGAAGGTAACCTGGGAAGTGCAAAGATGACTCTGATATCGATCTGCAACCACGAAGCCAACAGATTGTAAAAGTCCTCCGAGCCGGGTACTCGTAAGATGCCTGGAAAAGATGTACGATGTCAGGGTGGTTATATGGTCTTAGTTGGGGCGTTAACGTTTTTTTCTATTTTCTCAACAGATGGGCTACTTGGCAACACCTGGTTCATGCTTGAGCGCCATACCATCATCCTGCCAGCGTATGCCTGTTTGTAAGCTCTGAACAAGCTTTTCCGATTACAAAACGAACAAACGAAAAAGCTTTCCGTCTTCCATTTTGGCACGCTCCGCGCACTCTACTTTCATTCAGAATCGTCGTGGTTTATTGAATGCGATGGCCTATGCAATGACTTGCGGGTGCGCAAGTCTGTGTTCCCATCCTTTCAGACTAATATGGAAGCAGTTTACCTTTCCCGGAGGGTAGAATGCTTGATTGGCTTCGGGAAGAAGCAGATCCGGGATATGATTCCGAACCAGACGCATGGTGAGCGGGCCACCTTGCCGCCACACCACCTCCTCCGCTTGTCCGATTTATTCATACTTTGGTTGAAGTGGGTGCGTCTGAACCAGAGGAATCCTCCATGCCGTTGGGCTACCTGATTAGTGCCACACTGTCTCAAAAGATAAATCCCTGAACTTTTCATCAGTCAGAAGCGATCCATTCTGGGCGCTGTTTGTCGACGGGGGGGGGGCATTTTGTACTACCATTGCTTCCCTAGTTCCGGTTTACAAATCTCACTCTGGTAAAACTTGTGAACGCTTGTGAAGCTGGAGCAAGATCGTCTAGCCACCATCCTAAACGTGTCAACTCGAGAAACCCCCCCCCCCCCCCCGTCGACAAACTGCGCCTCCATTCTGTATTGTCTATGACATACGAGAAGTAGCCATGAAGTTGTGCAGTGTAAGATTTTTAGGCATGTTAGCGCTTTCAGACAGATCTCTGCTTTCCTTGAGAGTGCTGCCTTTGTGATTTCTCGAACACTTCTTTCAGACTCTCCTGACATACAAGATGCCAACATGAATGTGACATTCAAAAGTTCCAATAAAGAAGTTGTCGTGCCGCTCGTTCATACTGTAAGTGTCTCGAAAGGTTCTATGAGATTCAGAACTGACGAAGGAAACTCGAATGATCTCTCAAAGACCTTCCTATTCACTCTTGCTAGAGACAGAAAAAGGTCGAAAAAGCGTTCTTTCACAGAAAACTATAGTCTACAAAAAATAAGCGCGGGTCGTGCGAAGCGATCTTCGCTTTGTTCAGGCCTCGCCTCTCTTTCCGAACCAGGGAACGTCGTACGTTGGGGATCCCTAGCGAGGGGAAGGGGTCGTATTTGATAGCTAGAGGGGGAATGGGTTGGGCATGTCGCATTTGCGTTTGAGAAAACGTTTCGATGTCAGCATGAATTAGTACCAGAGGAGGGAATTTCGAGGGGGGTGGGGAGGGAGAGGGAAGGATATTTTGCACACATTTTCCCCAACGACAGGACGTGTCCTGGTCGTGATAGGTACTAAGGAGGGGCTAGAGCGACAGCGAAAAATTATATAGTTGACTTTTCCCATTTTAGAGACGTAGTCCGAGCGTTCGGGGTATCGGTCAGAAGATCCACGTTGCCGCAACGCACTCAAATACCTGGAATTTACTCGGTTGTTCAATAGACATGCTGTAACACTCCCACACTAAACTAACTAGGTCTTGGCGCGATTTCGCGCACGCGATGTCACTTGGCTTCTAACGCCGCAACATGGATATCCCAGTTTTGACGGTCGCAATTGCATTCCCCGATTGGCGAATTCTCTCTACGACCATCGGAGAATCGGGGCTTGCTCTGAATATCCCTTTGATTGGGTTTTGCAGCAAATCAGATAAGTATTGGTCAAGCGGCTTTTGTAGGTCAATTCGAATTTCTTCACGGCAGTTGTGAGCTTACAACCGGACCAGTACAGCGTGTCAGCCAGCATGACATATGACGTTGGGAAAGACGTACTTATAAGAATGTGGATACCTAGGTAATACTCACTCCTATATTTATTTACTCTTTTATTTACCGGCACTGTTCTGTTCACTTAAAACACTCCATTGCTCCGAAAGCAGGACATTATGAGAAGTGGAAGCGTGATAGAGCGGGGATGAGAGGGGTGTTACAAAGCTTTTTCCCAAGACGCGCGAAGAACAGCGGTCTCATAAGCGTACTCTTCTTGCAGTAAGCTTTCTCGTCCTTCGTTGTCTGGCATCTCCATCAGACGGAAGGGCGAGGAAGCTTACTGCGAGCGAGTACGCTATTTCTCCGTCGCACAGGAACCAAGTTTAGTCTCCAGATAAGACCTAGCCGTAGGTTAAAGGCAGTTGGCACGATAAATCCCCCAAGACGACTAGGATCAATACTCCTGGCAGGATAGAATTCCGCGACCCTGGGCAGGCGCTGCATAGCGGTTTCCCCGAGGAAGGTGCCC